GTGTGCCTGTGGATGGAAGGGTGGGTGTGTGGATGGGTGGGTGGCTGGGTGGCTGGATGGAGGTGTTAAAAATTAAGGTCCTTTCTACTGGGAGGGGCAGGGAGGGCACTAGATGGCAGGTGGTTGCCATTTAGAGCCTGGGGACAGATTATGAAAGCCAGTAGAGCAGGGCCTGTGTCTAGGTCACCACGTGGGCTGGCCCTGGACTGGACACCTCACAACTGAGCCCTGAGCCTGGTGAGTGAGTGAGCAGTCCCACTCACGGAGCCAGGGCACCGCTTCATGAGGAAACCCAGGCCCAGGGAGTGCCCCTAAATTCCCTATTGGAACCCTCCCCCCAAGATGGTGACATTGGAAGATAGAGGCTTTGGGGGTGACTAGGCCACAAGGGTGGAGCTGTCCTGAGGTGGGTCGATGCCCTTGTAAAAGGGACCCCAGAGAGCCCACGGCCCCTTCCACCTCGCGAGGTCACCAGGACAAAGCACCCTCTGCGGACCAGGAGTGGGGCCCTTAGCAGACATGGAACTGCGAGGACTGGGTCCCCGTTGTTCAGAAGCCGACGGACCCAACTGTGGCAAATGGGACTCTGCGGCCCAGGCAAAGGCGCGGCTCCCATCCGAAGCACCTCTCTCTGGTTTAGAAAGAAACAAATTTCCATACCAAATAAGGCGGCAGAGTCCAGAGCCTCTGCCCACTTCACGCAGCTCCTTTTAAGTGTCCAAAAGCAATTACACTTGGAACTTGACTGGCTTCAGCCTCCCTGGCCTTCCCCAGCCTCCCCGCGTAAACAAGCGGCCCAGCTGGGCCCCAGCTGCTGCCCCGGGGGAGGCGAACAGGTCACCACCCTGCCTGCCCAGCCTCTGTGGGCCTCGGGTGTGGTCTGGGTGTCCCCAGACTCTCAGAGCGTCCCACCCCCAGGAGACCCCAGGAGACCCGCTGGACAATGCAGACCCCAGTCCCAGGCTCCCTCCTCCTCTTGCTCTGGGGCAGGGACAGCAGACTCCTCCACGGGCAGGAAGCTGAGGCTCGGGGCAGGTGCAGGGAAAGTCTCTTGGGGTTTCGGAAAGACGCCCACAGGGGCCCACGGCCCTGCCTGGGCACCATTTGCTCAAGCAGGGAAAATGGAATTCCCTTGGGCTCCGGGGCCATGAGAAAGTGGGCCCAGGGCAGGAGAGTCATTTCTTGGTGCCTCTGAAGGGCTCACCACCAGCACTGACGGCCCACCCTCCTGCTCCCCGTTTTGGGCTGGGTGCCCGGACCACTGACACGTTCCAGGACCCCCTCTCTGGGGGAGGCTGACTCATCCCGCTGAGCAGCGCACGCACCAGGCCCCGCGGCCGCCAGCTCCCCTGCTCGCCCCGGGCGGGCTGTGATTTTCCACTTACTCCATCTGATTGCTATTAGGGCTGGGAAAGGGAATTCCTGGTTCCAGAAGGCCACAGGGGGCCCCCGGCACATTCCAGGGTGGGCAGGGGGAGTGGACCTGGACGCCACCTGGGGGTGCTGCCGTCCCTCCGTGGACTCTGCACGACTCTGCGCCTCCGCTAGGGAGCCCTCTCCTCTGCGCGCCCAGCTTCCCCAAGCCAGCCCCTCCCCCAGTGGAGACGGCAGGGTGGGGACCGCCCATCCACCCCAAAATGCCCACTGGGAGCAGACCCAAGGCAGCAGGCCAGTGGACAGCAGAGCTCCCTCTGCAGGACAGGACAGATTTGGGGGGCCGTAGGATACAAGGGAGATTAACAGCTGGACTCTGGCCGCAGTGCTCAGTGCTCGGGCCAACCTGACGTCACCAGGCAAAAAGATGAGTCCCCAGTGGGGCTCTGGGGGGGGGCTCCTGAGCGGGGCATTCCTTCCCGAAGCCTCATGGAGCGCAGCCCCTCCTCCTCCTCCCTCCCCTCCCCCTCCTGCCGGGCCTGGAATTGGGTTTGGGGCGGGTTCTGCTTCCAAAGCCATCTCCTGCAGCAGGCAAGGGCTCGTCCCGTCCTCCACCAAGCTCGGGCAGCGCTTGGCTGGCCTGCTGCCCTGGTGGGTCGGCCAGGCGGAGGCAGGGATCTCAGGAGGAGCCCGTCACAAAGGGAAGGACTCCGAGGACCAGGACAGCGGCAGGTAGCTCCCTGTGTCCAGGGACCGAGGGAGGGGCTCAGGGAAAGGGGGTCTGTAGGGTGAAGGCCAGGCAGGGAAGAAAAATGAGGTGGACGTCTTCAGGGCAGGGAGGTGGGCACGGTCAGGGCAGGAAGCTCCCAGAAATCCACCTCTTGAATCAGGAAGCCCTGAGATTCCAAGGCAGGGCTGTCACCCACCAGGAGGTCTCTCCCGCCACTCAGAAGCTGCAGGGTTCTCAGGGACAGCGAGGAACTTTGAGAGTCCCCTCCTGTGTGACCGTGCCCTGGCCAGCTGGCCTCCCCCAACCCCCAGCCCCAAGCCGGCCTCAGCAGCCAGCCCCTGCTCTGTCCTCCTGTGGGTGGGGGCTTCCCCTCCCTCCCCCAGCTTCACGTCCAAGAGAGCTTTCTGGAAGGGCTAGAAGGGAACACCCAGCGGGCAGCATCCCAAGCAAGAGGAGAGGGCTCCTCCGCTCCCGCGCACACCAGCTTCTGCGAGGCTGAATCCGGGATGGAGCAGCTGCAGGGCCAGCCCCACAGTGGACATGCTGGGGTCAGGAGGCCGGGCAGCTGGGTCCCACCTTTTCCCAGGCTGGCGGAGCCTGGCACAGCGTGGGGTCCTCTGAGGACATCCCCGCGGTGTTCTGCCGGGTCTCCATCCCCTTGGATGAGCCCCTTGGATCCAGCTGTCAGCAGGGACCCGGGTCCTAGAGGGGAGACAGGCTCTCTGTGTGTCACAGGCAGCGTCAGACAGCCCCTCCAATGACCAGTGCCCTCAGGCCCAGCCCAGGCGGCCGCCAGGGGAAAACAAGAGGCTTTGGGTCCTGGAGGGCTGGGGTGAGCCAGGCTGGGGGAAGCAGGCAGTGGCCGCACCGTCCTGGTTTTGAGGGGAGTGCAGGCGGGGGCAGGGGGTGCTGGGCTGGCAGCTTCCTGGTCAGCTTTGGTTGAAGCCAGCGCTGATCAACACGCAGCACACGCACTCCACACGTCCCTACCCATGTCACACATATGTCCTTAATGTGGCCCGTCTGGGCTGCCAGATCTCTCTGCGCATCCGTGAAGTCGCTGTGCGTATCCTGGTAGGGCCAGGACCAGGGGACACAGACGGATCAGCTCCATCAGTGTGGTGGGCAGGGGCTCTCCTGCATGCTGGCCTGCACTGTGGGCAGGCCAGCCCTCCGCCCCAGGGTCCAGCCTGACCAGCGTGAAAGGGTGACACTTTCCTGAGTCCAGGCTTCCCCCAGGGGAGCTTAGGGCCTGATGTGGAAGGCTCTGGAAGGGCCTCGAGAGGGCTGGGAGCAAGGGGGGAAGCGGAGGTTGCTTACCTGGGGCCGGGTGGGTCTGGGAATGCAGACAGGGGAAAGTCTGGGCCGGGCCCCCCTTGGGGAGCATGCAGCCTGTCCCTGGCCATGGACAGTGGACCAACTGGAGTCGAGGCTGTGCCTTGAGGCGGGGGGTGAAGACGCCCACTGCCCAGCACCAGGATCTGTGCGAGGCACCACACACAGGGGCTCCCACCCTCACCCACGCAGGCCCCGCACTGAGCCACTCCAGGCACAGGTGCCCCCACCGAGCTCCAGGACGCACCCGCAGCCTGGGGGCAGGAGGGCAGGAGACCTGAAGTGGGCGCAGGCCTGGGGTGGCGCTGGGCCCTCCACACCCCGCTGCACAGCTTTGGCCCTCGGGGTGGCAGCCTTCCCACCAGATCCTGGAGGCCAAGGGTTAAAGAAGGGGCGGGCGGCTTGCACAGATGGACACCCTTTGCAGCCAGTGACTCACAGCCCAGCTGGGACAGGCGGAGAGGGAAGGAGGTGGCGGCTGCAGCCAGCCGGGTGGACCTGCAGAGGAAGGAATTTCTGGGGAGTGGAGGCCACCGCACTGCCCAGCAGTCCCCCCCCCCCCCGGGAGGGAGGGCTCCAGCCACCTGTGGCTGCGCTGTGCCCCTGACAAGGCCTTTTCTCACTCTCGACCTCCGTTTCCCCACTTCCTGGGGGGGAGCGATAGGATGTCTGGTTGAGGGACAGGTCACTTTTAGCAGACACAGGGTAGGCAGACCCATGAGCTGTGGCCAACCAGGGTGGACCAGTCTCCTGCTGGGTCGTGCCCGCCCAGCTCATCCCCCTCCCAGGCTCATTGATTGGCAGCCCGACGCTTCCCCCCACCCGCCGGAGTCAGGGCCACGGCATGGCCTCCTGGCTCGCTCCCCAGTCACCCCTCTCCTCCATAGCAGCTGCAGCCCCAACAATAGACAGATGTGCTGGCCGCTGGAGAGTGACCTCACCCCTGGACCCTAGGTCACCTACCAAAGGGAAATGAGGGCAGCTGCCCTGCAGCTGGTAATCAGGCCACACCCCACAAGGGGGAGGGGAGGTGGCAGGTGCTCAGCCAGCATTCGGGGTGCTGGGGTTGGTGGTGGGGGCGACGCTGTGCCTTCCAGGAACCTTTAGGGGAAAGACCAGATGCAAGGCCCAGACAAAGACCACCTCCTCCAGGAAGTCTCCCTGCCAAAAGCGACCTGCCTGACCTCACCGCGCCCCTCCCCTGCCACCCAGGGCCAGGACACATGGAGGTGCTCGGGCAACTGTATCTCCAGAGCAATCTGGCTCCGGCACCTTGCAGACCAAGTGGAGGGGGTGGGGGCTGAGGGGGCTTCCTCCCTAGTGAGCCGCCGTGGGCTCCAAGGGGCCCCAAGGGTCTTATGAGGGGTCCTCGGGCAGGAGGGGCTGTGCTGGCAGGACAGTCCTGCCAAGCCCTTCTTCAGGGAGCTGGGGATGGCCTTTCCGCTAAGGTGAGAGCCACTGGCCCAGAAAGCCCAGGGGCCTGGGACAGGGCCGGGAGGTGGGATGGGGACATTTCAGAAGGAGTCAGATCCCACTGTCCTCTCCCCGGGCTGTTGCCAGGTGACAGGTGGGCGTGCCAGCCGGTGAGCTGCGAGGAGGGACCTGGACCCTCGGAGCCTGGAGATGGCTGGGAACTGCTCCTGGGAGGCCCATGCCACCAGCAGGAACAAGGTGAGTGCCACCCGGCAGAGGAGGCCACTGGCCTGCCAGGAGACGGCAGGTGGGGACAAGAGATCCTCCCACACCTGCCTCCCAGGCCACTCTCCAACTCTGCACTGGGGTGGGCATGGGGCTGGCCCTGGTCACCAGTCCCTAGGATCCCAGTGTCCCCTTCAGGGAGGTGAGCAAAGGCACTGGGTAACTGGAAGTCCCCCCTGATGCTGACCCTTGGCCATCCTTTGCCCCTTGCCTGCCCTGCAGAGGGGGCAGTCAGCCATTACGATGGCCAGGGCTTGCCCGGAAGGCCTGCCTGCTGGCTCCCAGGTGACCCCGATGTCATGTGCTCCACAGAGCTGTGTCCACTCTGGGCTACCCCCATCTATAGGCACTAGCCCTCCTGAGACTCTGACAAGCCCTTCAGGCTGACCCACCACCTCCTGCCTTCCCCCTCCCCTTGAAAAGTCTGGAATTTTCTTCAGAATCCTGGGTAGAATACTCTCCGACTGGAAGGATCCCTGGAACTGACCGGCTCCAACCTCGTCACTGAAGAAACTGAGGCTCACAGCAGGGCAGTAACCTGTCCCCTGCCCAGGTCCAGCTCCTGGGATCCGACCCCGGCCCTAGCCTCTAACCCCTCTCCCCATGGTGCCCACTGTTGGCACGATGTTGGCCGTCCAGGAGGAAGAGATTGGGTGTGCTGGGGGCGTGTCCAGGAGTCCCCAGAGCAGAGACAGCGCTCAGGGAGGGGGCAGGCTCCAGAGCGGGCCTTTCACAAGGGCCTTGTGTGGCTGGGAACAGCTCCCACCCAGTGACTCAGCCAGCCCCCCTCCCCTTCAAGGAGGGGATTGCACGATTTTTCCAGCTTGCAAAGGCTGGAGTGCTCTGACATGGCTCTGTCCACCCCATGTCCCCTGCAAGCAAGTTCCCTCCCAGTGGCAGAGCTAGTCTCCCCTGGACCTTCCAGATCCCTGAGTCTGTCCCTGCTGAGTGGAACTCCCAAGATTGTAGTTCTCAAAGTCACCCCCGGGAAAGGAAGCAGAGGGCAAGCTAAACAGTGGGATTTGTTGGTCCACAGAGGCAGGCAGAGCTGTTCTGTGTTTGGTGGTGGGCAGGACCCCATAAAGGACTTTCTCTGACCTCCGAGGGCCTCCCCAAGTTCTGCCAACACCTCCAGTTCCTGTTTGCAGGATCCCTTGAGGGGTCCGGGCCAGAAGACCCCACCCTTGGTTAGGGGATGTCAAGAGCGATTCCTCTGGATCCTGCTTTCTGCCAGAGCCATCTGGAAAGTGGCAGAAAGGGTCCCTTGTTTTGTTGGGGGACGTGAGTGGGTACCAGCCTTCGGGAGAGAGCTGGTGTGGATTGATAATGTCTGCAGGGTGTAGGGAAGGGGCTTGCTGGGGCACCTTCGCCACTAGGAATGAGAGGTCAAAAACCACCCTGATGGGCTGTGTTTGGCCGGCACAGTGATTTGAAGTGTTCACACAGAAAGCTCAGGGTGTTTGGCTTCTCTGGGAAGGGGAGGGGGGGACCGGCCCCACTAGCCGGTCCCCTGGCACCCGCTGGCTGGAGCAGAGCAGGCTGCCCACCTTGATCAGGATGGGGACTCTTGGGTTTGAACCGTGCCCACCACTCACCAGTTTCTGGAACGCGGCTCAGGCTTGTGCATTTACCCACCAACCCAAGCCCTGTGGACAGGACTGGTGTCCGCTGGGGGCACCATTTTAGGCAAAACCAGTTGTAAAATATTGAAATGCTTCCTGTAGCTGATGCCGCAGGCCCCACCCCCTGCCAGAGACCCCCTGGGCTTTCCCACAATCCAGAGCCCCGAAGAGCAGCCCCAGCCCACAGGGCACCACCTCTGATCCCCAGTTCTCCCTGGCCCCACTGTGGAACTGGGTCCTGCTCCAAGTTCCACTCCATTTTTTTTTTTACAAGTGATTTTAATTTCCTTAGAAATAAGTATTTTCACTTTTTAGTTTTGAAACAATGCAAGAAAATTGCAAGAACAGGAGGCTACCTACTAAGTCCCTCCCTCCCTTCCTCCATTGCTGATCTTGTGCTGAATATGCTGTGTACCCCAGAATCACCCCCAAATAACTGGCAGACACCAACTCCCTCTGCCTTCAAATAGCCAGACTGGTCTGAGAACAAGGCCAGACGCAGGTCCAGGTTCCGAAAACGTAACACTGATGCAATCCACGCCCACATCCTGAGCTCTCCGAGTGCCCCGGCAATACAGTGGTCTAGGTCCAGGGTGTTAGGATCCCAGCCTGCAGAGTGGCCCACGGCTCTTTGGTCTCCTTGCATCCAGAAAGTGCCCTCAGTTTTCCCTTATTGTATTATAACAGTCCCTTCTTCTATGACATGGACATTTTGGGGAGAGTCCATTCTGACCGTGGGAAGCCTGGAGTGCTTATAGGTGGCTGACAGCCGTGGTGTCCCTCCTGGAGACTGGCCACTCCGTGCTGTTAGCTCTAGACTCGGGAGCAGCGTGAGCCTCCGGTGGGCTTTATTCTGCTCTCGTTGCAATCAGAGCCAGTGGCCCTACAGACCTTGGACCCAAGTGTCTGGTGGGGACCACCAGGCGGGGCCACAGGTGCAGGTCTCCGTGGACGGGGAGGGGCAGCCAGCACCACCAGGTGTCTCCCCTCCACACCTGCACAGATGTGTCCCAGCCTGAGCGAGGCCCCGGAGCTCTACAGCCGCGGCTTCCTGACCATCGAGCAGATCGCCATGCTGCCCCCGCCGGCCGTCATGAACTACATCTTCCTGCTGCTCTGCCTGTGCGGCTTGGTGGGCAACGGGCTGGTCCTCTGGTTTTTCGGCTTCTCCATCAAGAGGACCCCCTTCTCCATCTACTTCCTGCACCTGGCCAGCGCCGACAGCGCGTACCTCTTCAGCAAGGCCCTGTTCTCCCTCCTGAACGCGGGGGGCTTTCTGGGCACCTTCGCCGACTTCGTCCGCAGCGTGTCCCGGGTCGTGGGGCTCTGCGCCTTCGTCAGCGGCGTGAGCCTCCTGCCGGCCATCAGCACAGAGCGCAGTGTGTCCGTCATCTTTCCTGCCTGGTACTGGCGCCGGCGGCCCAAGCGCCTGTCGGCCGTGGTGTGCGCCCTGCTCTGGCTCCTGTCCCTGCTGGTCACTGGAATTCACAACTACTTCTGTGTGTTCCTGGGCCATGCAGACTCCAGGGCAGCCTGCAGGCACATGGACATCGCCCTGGGCATCATCCTCTTCCTGGTCTTCTGCCCACTCATGGTGCTGCCCTGCCTGGCCCTCATCTTGCACGTGGAGTGCCGGGCACGGAGGCGCCAGCGGTCGGCCAAACTCAACCACGTCGTGCTGGCCATGGTCTCCGTCTTCCTCGTGTCCTCCATCTACTTGGGGATCGACTGGTTCCTCTTCTGGGTCTTCCAGATCCCGGCCCCCTTCCCCGAGTACGTCACCGACCTGTGCATCTGCATCAACAGCAGCGCCAAGCCCATTGTCTACTTCCTGGCCGGGAGGGACAAGTCGCAGCGGCTGTGGGAGCCTCTCAGGGTGGTCTTCCAGAGGGCTCTGAGGGACGGCGCCGAGCTGGGGGAGGCTGCAGGCGGCACGCCCAACACGGTCACCATGGAGATGCAGTGCCCCTCTGGGAATGCCTCCTGAGAGGCCGGCGCCCGGAGAAGCCTGGGCCGGTCGTGGACCCTGGCCTCCAGAGACTCTTTGCCACCGACAGGAACAGGCACCTGCCTTGGTGCCCGCGTGGGAGGACAGTCCGGCTGGGCCCCTCCTGCCTCCTTCTCCCAGGGATGGAGGCCCTGGGGGTGGCCAGGAGGCCGAGCAGCCACCAGCACCCCCAGCCACTCTGCCTCAGTGACCCACTGTACCAAAGTCACCCCCACGCGGTGGGGCCCTCCTCACCCTGGGCTGGTCGGCATAGGGGAGGAGGTGGCCGCAGCCCTGCCACCTCCTGCCCTACAGCCTCGTCCCCAGGGGTGGACTGTTCTCGAGATTCCGTCCCCAGGGCGGAGCATGAGCTGACCTGAACCAAACGGTGCTACCTGGGAGAGGTGTCCCTTCATAGCCTTGCAGCCAGATCTTTCTGCAAACAACATCCCTGTCCCCTTGGTGAGTCATTTGGTGACTTTAATGGGGAAACGCCTGGCCCGGGAGCCACTCGAGACAGGAAGGACAGCCTTTTCTAACTCTGTGCCTGGCCAGCCCTGGGCAGCCTCCCAAGCACTCTGTGTCCTCCAGGCCACTGTGGACCATATGGGCAGTTCCTGGACCGAGTCCCTGGGCTCTAGCACCACCCAGAAGTGGGCTCTGGCTCTGTCCTGTCCCCTGAGGACTGGCACTGTGGTGCCCAACAAGCACAGTGGCCCCATGTAGCCACAGGGAGTTCTGTAAGACAATGAAGTGTCACCAATAAACGTTTTGTACCTTGCATCGCGGCAGGCTGAATGCCCGAGTCCTCTGTCTCCCACAGCGAGGACGGCCAAGGGCAGGGGCAGTGGCCCGGGCCTCCCTGCTGGCTCTCCAGGGCCATCTGCTCCTGTCCTCCTGCCCCAAGCCTGGTCTTCTGGCTGCTTCTGTCTCCCCTGTGGCGTGCCCGCCCCTTACCTGATGGGTCGCCAGAGTGAATGCCAGTCCCGACCCGGGCAACCTGTCCATGTATTCCAGTTCAGCCCTGCATGGATGGACATCGTCCCTCTCCAAGAGGGACATAGTGGCCCCACGGGGGCTCCCTGGAGTGAGTGGCTGCATCCCTTCCTACGCTCCTCCCTGCAGAATGTCTCCCTCGGCCCTGACCCCCAGGCAGGGGCTGGCCCCTGGGCCTGGACACCCCTGGGCTCCTGCAGCTGGCTGAGAGCCCTTCCAGGGTACCACCTGGGCCAGGCTGGAGGGCAGGCCACTGTGGACCATAAGGGCAGTACCTGGACCATGCCTCTGCTCAGCCCCCACAGAGGACATCCTGGGCACCTGGTCTCGCCTGGGATTCTCTGAGGCCTGAGGAGAGAGCCCAAGGCAGAGGCCAAGGTGGCCAGTCAGGAAGCGTCGCTGATGGAGTGGGGCCCCTTCTCTGAGCCAGGAGCAGACGAGGAAGGCAGGCCTGCCGGCCGGCCCCTGACACCCCATTCACACACCTCGAGCCTGCTCTGCCTTAACCTGGGCCCAGGGCAGCAGCTGCAGCACCAGCCCTCGCAGGGCTGACCCCGCCAAGCCCATGAGCCTGATGGTCCACGCCCAGTCACCGACTTTACCTTCCTGTCCACTCTGGCCATGGACTGTCTCTGCTCTCTAGCAGTCCCCGCTGCTCCTCCCAGCCAGGCACTGAGCTCTGGGGAGAAGGGACTGTGTGTGGACGGAAGGAGCTGTGGTCCCAGGGGTCTCGGGTGAGGAAGGGCTGTGCCACCTGCCCCACGCTGCGTCCCCCACGCTGCGTCCCCCACGCTGCGTCCAGATGAGCCCCACCACCCTCCCCGTCTCCCCCGTGCTGCTCAGTGAATCCCGGAGACCAGGTGTCAGATGAGGGATCTCCAGCCTGGCAGGTGATCACCGAGGACACACAGCAGCAGCAGGGCTGGGGTCCCCTCAGGGGCAGGGCTGGGGCCCACTCGGGCATCCTGGCCAGAAAGTCTCTCCCTCCACATGGACAGAAAGGCCTCGCAGTGCTGGAGGTCGCCCAGGCTGGCCCAGGGTCCGTGAGTCCCACTTCCTGGGAAGCCACTCTCCTCCCAGGACCCCAAGCCTCCAGTCCTGAGTCCCCACAGGGAGCTGACCCCTGGAAGGGCCCTCCCTGCCCGGGTGCAGCCTGAGCGCTCAGGTCCCAGGGCCCGTGAGCGGATGAGCAGTCGGATGAGCTGGGCCACAGTCTGAGGCTGCATCAGCCTCACCACGCTGTGGCGGAGCGTGGGGTGAGCTTCGGGCTTGTCCAGGCTCTGGGGCCTTGTGCAGACCTTTGCAGACTTGCTAGGAAGCTGGCCTTTTCTCCCACAGGCCAGAGACTCCCAGAGGAGTCTGCCCCTCCCAGATCCCCTCATTTTCTGTGCTAATGGCACAGACATTAAAGGAGAGGAAGGCCCACACTTCCCTCCCTCCCCAGGTATTTGATTATTAAAGTGGCAGGGAGGAGCCGGCCGCAGGCGCCAGGGCTCCAGCTGCCCCCATCAGGGTGGTGTTCTGGCAGCCCCCCCCCTGCTCCCTTCTCTCGGGTGTTTGGTAAGAGCAGGAGGCCAGGGGCCTGAGCAGCGCAGATTTGGGTCCTGACACTTTGCAGCCAGGCCGTTCTCAGAGACAGCCACTCCACAGCAGAACGGCACAGCTCCTACTGAGGGACTGCTGGGCTGCCCCGGGGTACCAGCAAACCACTCCCACCCAGCACATGAAGAGTCGGGAGGGCAGGCAGGAGGGACTGGGCCACCCTTCCTGCACCCACTACCTCTACAGAACCAAGCAAGAAAAGATGCACGGTCTTTTAGACGGCAGATGGCGCAAGGGATGAGCAAGGCCAGATTTGAAGTCAAGAGCGAGTCTCCGGGAGGTGGAGGTCTGTGACCTGCCAGCCACAGGCCTCAGTCTTGCTGTGCCTCGGTTTCCCTGGAGGGCACTGCACGGACCTCACAGAGCTGGTGGAATTGCCTGTGTCGGTGCCCGGCCCACCCTGGTCAGGCATCAGGGCAGGGACTCGGCAGGTGGAGGGGAGAAAGTGAGTGGCCAGCGAAGGAGAGGAGTGCCCACCAACAGCCTCTCCAAGCTCTGGCCATCAGGGAAATGACTGCCATCTGTTGAGGCCCTGGGCCCACAGCCTCAGGCAGGGGTCTGGTTTGGTCTTCAGAGCGGGGCCACATGGGACCTGCATCAGTACCAGTTGGGGAAGTTGGGCCTCACCAAGGCCAGCCACAGCAGGTGGATGACCAGGCTGGAGCCCCAAGTCACCACCCAAAGGCTCCCCATGGTGGCTGTCTAGTGGCCCTGCAAGCTCAGCCTCTGACCTTGGCATCCCCCATCAGGAAAGTGACGGCAGTTGGAGACACCTGAGGTGGACATGCCCAGCACGGCCCCCGGGGCACCCAGACGGACCTGGTTGGCTTCCTCAGTGGACTGAGGCCGAGGGAGGACAAGGCTCTGTTTCAGGCTGTCAGCAGAGGGGCGGGTGGGGGGGAGCTCGGCAGGCAGCGGGAGCCGTGGTCTCTCCTCTCTTTTACATCTGGCTGAAGGACTCTGGTACCCGCCGTCCCCAAGCCCTGCCCGCTGTGGTTTCCAGATAACTTGGGTTTCATATTTTATGCCAGAATTTTTAAGCACAAGATGGTTTCACATCTGCATAGCTTGGTTCAGAATCCTGAGCCAAGATGCCTCCTTCCTCCCAGGAACCATGGGCTCATCTAGAAGGTGGTGGAGAGATGGATCCTGCCTCTCACTGTTGGGGAAGAAGCCCGGCCAGGGCAATGTGCCCCTCAAAATGCCAGTGACCAGGCCAGGAAGCCAGACCTTCGAGGGTCCTTCCAGAACAGAGCTCCTGAGGACGCCAGCCGGGGCTGGAGAAGTGGAGAACCGGAGGCGGCAGGGTGCATGGGGTTCGCGGGAAGCCCTGTTGGATGAGTCAGGCCGGCAGCACAAAGTTTCCTGGCAGTCCCAGAGAGGCTCACCTACGCAGGCAGATGTTTTTTTTAAGTCTTTGTAATTAATCTAATGGAGGCCTCCTTGACACGCAGGAGAATGTGACCACTTCACACATAAGACACACTAATCTCTGACCAGTGCATCTGTGCCCATGTCATCCACAAAACAACAGAGGGGAGGTGTCACTCCCCCTAGAAGAACGTGTCCGCCCCACCCAAGTCTTCCCATGCCACTGGGCAGCCAGTCCAGCGCCCGCCGGACCCCGCCCAACACAACATTCATCTCGCTTCACGCTGCTCTCAATTAGCCTCCCGGGCAGATCCGTGCCCCATATCGGCCAGGAGCCCTGGTGGCAAGTAACAGAACCGGGTTAGTCCAGCTCGGGAGAGGGCGGGTGAGTGTGGGCAGGCGTGTTTACGAGAATTGATTGACTCACATACCCAGAAAAACGGAATAAGAACATAATTAAACAAAACCCTCCCACTTGGAGGAGAAAGCACACACAGCACTTGGTGGTTCTTGGCTGTAGCATTTTCCCTGCTGGACGGGACACAGTGAGCACCCGGAGCTCAAGAGGGTCCTCGGTCACCATCCAGCTGGTAGCCGGAATCCAAGATGGCCCCGGCGGTCACGCTCTGGTGAATTCGCGCCCTTCCCTGGATACACAGGCTGCACGATCCATGGGACACAGCAAGGTGCCTGGGTGCGTAAGGTTGTGACGGTCTCCACTGGTGGCACTCGTGAGCCCGCTGCCATGTGGGGAGCGGTGACGTTGGAAAGAAGCCAGAGAGCCTCTGGCCACCAGCCAGGCAAGGTACTGAGGCGCTCAGTCCAGCAACCCACGGGGAACGGGTATGACCCAGCAGGGACCACTCAGGTGGCACAGGTTCAAAGGTCAGGGGAAAGCCCAGGATGAGCTGGGTGGCTGGCGGTGAGCCTTCTTAACCCCTTTATAACTGCTGGCCTCTTTGCTTTTGGTCAGTTTCATGAACCAGTAGCAAACACCATGACCTCTCTTTGATGGATGATCCTTGAGTCTAAAGCCCAGCCTTAAGCATCACCTGACCAGGATCTTGAAGACAGCTGTCCCTCTCGGCTCCTTGGAGCTCAGAGCAGGGAAAGCCGACAGCTGTGGGAGTGGGAAGCAGAGCTGGACCAGCTGCCACACCCGTGGCCCAACACAGAGGGCGGGCCACAGTGTCACCCCCCGGGACCCCCCAGTTGCAC